TGATGATGGTGTTTTTGTTTTTGTTTTTGTTTTTGTTTGTCATTTTGTTTTAGGTGAGCTGACTCCTTTCAGTGTTTCCTGTAATGCAGGCCTCATAGTGGAGAATTCCCTCAATTTTTGTATGTCTGGAAAGGTCTTTATTTCTCCTTCATATCTAAAGAAGAGCTTAGTTGGATACATTATTCTTGGCTGGTAGTTCCTTTCATTTAATAGTTTGAATATTTGATTCCACTCCTTTCTGGATTGTAAAGTTTGTGCTGAGAAGTCTGATGATAATCGAATGGGTTTTCTTTTATAGGTTACTGTCTTCTTTTCCCTGGCTGTCCTGAGAAATCTTTCTTTGTCATTGATTTTTGATAATTTTACTACAATGTGTCTTGGTGAAGGCCTTTTTGGGTTGAGATAATTGGGTGTTCTGTTGACTTCTTGAATTCCAAGCTCCAGCTCATGCCTTAGATTTGGGGAATTCTCGTCAACTCTTTGTCTGAAAATGCTTTCTAGTCCCTGCTCCTTTTCTTCGCCTTCGATAATGCCCATTATTTTGATGTTTCCTCTCCTGATGGTATCAGCTAGTTCTTCTATTTCTCTTTCATTATTTTTCATTCTTTGGTTTCTCTCTTCTTCCTTCTGATTTATTTCTAGATTTCTGTCTTCGATATCACCGATCCTTTCCTCCATTTGGTCGACTCTACTTCCCAAGTTTGCTATTTCATTTTTCAACTCTTTCAGGGTATTGCTATTTCATATATGATAAGGTACATATGAGCATGTTTATATCTGGGGGGAAAGACTTCCAGGTAAGGAAAAGAAAAAGCTAGTGCAAATGCCCAGAAGAAAGATTGTGCATGGTATTTCCAAGGAGTCTAGCATGGTTGCAGCAGAGTTAGTAGTGAGAAACGTGAGGTCAGAGAGGAACCAGCAATCCAAATTACATAGATCTTTGTAGATTATCATAGGTATTTTTGATTTTGTTGTCCAGAAGTTTACTTGTTTAAACCGTCCCATCATGAACATTTATTATTTACTTTTAAATTCTTTTCCTGAAATATATTTTTCCAAAGATGTAACATATGTTCTCTTCTAGATCCTTTCTGTTTTTAATTAACTCCATTTCAAATGCTTAATATTTTTATCCATCCAGAATTTATGGTGCATAATATAAAGCATGTATCCAAACTGATTTTTGCCCCAAAGTGGATTTATTTATCCTAACACTATTAATATTTCTTTCCCCATGTTTGATGGTGCTTACCTTATAAGACATAGTAAATTCTTATATATAAGTGATTTATTCCTGGATTCCTTTCCGTTTTTGCTGCTTCTCTTTATTTTTTTATTTTACATCAGTACCATATTGTTTAGATTATATTATTTTATAATGTGTTCCAATTTTCATTTATTGTTACCCTTTTTCTTCCTTTGCAAAATATTCTTTGACATTGTTAAGTTGTTTATTTTTCCAAATGAATTTCTGAGTCATTTTTTTTAAATGTCTTAGCAAACATGTTGGGATTTAGATTAGGAATTTATCAAATTTGATACATTATCTTTGAGGAATGATCCATTACAATGAGGAATATAATTTTAGATATGTTAGTAGATATCTAAAAATTCTTTCTTGGTCTGGGGATTTGTTTAAAGAGTGATTTTACTTTTTTGGAAATAAATCAGTATCAATTTACTCAGCTAAATTTTGGGATTTAAAATTTTTCAAGAAGTATTTCATCTTAATTTTTGTGGAGGTTAATGCCAGGGAGGGTGCAGCATCCCATAATGTAAAATTGAGGATGCCATTATTCACTCATTCAACAAATATTTGTTGAATGTGTCCTAAGTATGCTAGGTTCTCAGAGCACAACATTAGATAAAACAGAACAAAATCCCTGTCCTCATGGAGCTCACAGTCTAATCATGGAGTGCTTAATGATTAATGCTAACAATTAAAATACTTGCTCCCAGGTTGCAGTGGATTTTACTGAGAGATGCCAAAAGATTGCTTGTCCACAACTTAGTGTGCTTCTTCCTGTTTTATCTGGAATTGATCCTAAGGTTTTGCTAAGGATGGCTGAGAATGACTTGTAATGATATTGGGTAATACCCAGAATGTAATATGAACATGGAACTGTCATTGAAATATGCTGTTCCTGTACCTGGATTGCAGCTATATCCATGAATCTTTATTCTGAGAGGAATGGGTTTCTTGTTTTGTCTTATATTAGTTTTGTTATCTCATGCTCAGTGACCTAGGCAATGTTGTGAATATTGCATTAGGTTTAAGGAACTTGTTTAACTTGAATGGCTTGGTGTATTTTCTTCAACTGTTCATAATATTTGATTTTTTTTAGTCAGATTGGCTATTTTTATGTGCCTAGGGACTTGGGAGGAGTTGAAAACAAAGGACAAATACAAAAGCAAATGTTAAAAGACGTTATGGAAGAAACTTGAGTAACAGATGGCATCTGTATGTAGTGGTAGCTGTCATGAAGATGTGGGAAGTTTGAGAGACGATGGCAAAGATGTATAAAATAAGGTAAATGAAGATTTGTAGAAATCTCCGGGTGACTGATTAAGTTAGACTCAGCCTAAAAATTAATTAGGACATACTCAGTGGTCTGAAAGCATTCTTTTTGGCATGGGTCTAATCTGAACAGTTTAGATTTCTCAAAAACAACATTTGTGATGGAACAGCTGTTGTTTTACATCTGAGAATCTCCAAAGAACAAGCCCTGTGTCCTAGATTTGGCTATTTTTCATTAATAGTGCTGGAGCCCCTGGAAGAGAAAGCAATCTTGGGTCTTGGGATTGGGAAGAATACTGAGCCTTGATACTCTGGTTCTTTAACAGCAGCTTACAAAAGGGCATTTTGAAGGAAGGAGATGTTTGAAGAGGCAATATAAAAAGTCAAAGAATGAGGAAAGTGGGGATGGAATAAACAGTAAAACTGCCTGTAACAAAAGAATAAGCAATTAGATCAGCACAGAAAAACATGAAAGAAGTAACCGTAGGGTTCCAGTAGAGGAGGCTGAGTTTATTAAGATATAATAATTGCTAGCAGTGTATCAGTCACCTTACATATATTGTTTCATTTAATCCTCACAGTAATTCTGTGAGGTAGTGACTATTATTACCCCATTTTACAAATAGGAAACTAAGGTAGAGAGTGGTGAAGTAACTTATCCAAAGTTACCTAGGCAATAAGTGGAAAAGCCTGGTTTTTAGTCTATATAGTTTGGTGCTGAGTCCATGCTCTTAACCACTACACTATATGATCTTTCTCAGGCCATGTGAAAAGAGCTAGAGCAGGATTTTGACAATGCACAAAGGCCAATTATTTTCTTTTCTTGTAATTATTTTTATTATTATCCTGTGTTTCATATGTGAGAATTTATTTTGTGCCCCTTGGGGCTCCTCCTTGAGCAAAGACTACTTTATTTTATTTTATTATTAGTTTCAAGTATGCAGTATATTGGTTAGACATTTATATAGTTTATAAAAAATATAGAACCCTTCACAAGTTTGTGTGTCATCCTTATGCAGGTGCCAAGCTAATCTTCTCTGTACCATTCCAATTTTAGTATATGTGCTGCCGAAGCAAGCACAAGTGAAGGTTACTTTTGCTCTTTTTTTTTCAGACTGCCCAGTGGAGAATGGTTAGATCTCTCTATATTCCTCAGCCAATTCCAGGATTACATCCGTGATCACTGGGATGGCCCCTGGTTTTAATACTCTGTGTGTTTTATTTGTGAACCCCTTCCATCCTCACAGAAGCCCAGAGTGTGCAAGGGGAATGACTGTTTTGGGGTGATTCAATGAGCTTCTATGGCAGCCATCAGTATAAAAGCAACAGACTTATAAAGAAAAAAAAGGGGTGGGAATGTTAGAAGTGATTTAAAAAAGGGGAGAATGAGTCTTGAGGAGAGAAAGTCTTGAGAAAAGATGAAAGAAAGCAAAAAAAATGGGCTGTTGGATTATATTTTTGTCTCATAGAGAGAAGGGAGCTGAGATGTGGGTGAGGGCCCTAAAAGACCCAAGTACAAGAGTCTTCTTTTGTTCTGATGAGCTCTGGCATGGAGTTACCAAGGGAGAAACTAGCACTATAGAACTCTTTATACTTTGGACAGGGTTTGGAGAAGACTCTTCTATTGTACCTTGAGGTATCTCTCTTAAGAGTGTCAAGTAAAATATATTAATAAAAAATGCCCAAAGATTTTCCTTTCATAAACTAGATTCTCTGCATCTCTAGAGTTACTTTTACCGTGGTGCTAAATAATAACAAACTGATTCTAGAAGAATTTATATCCTTATAATATTGAGGGTTTCTATCTATGAACATGGCATATTCCATTTATTGAATTCATTTCCTTTATCTCCTAAAAGGAAAACATCAAACTTTATTAATTAAATCAAGCCTAAAACCGTTAACTCTTGTCCTTGACAATTGTCTTTCTTTCAAGTCTCTTGGAGTAGGTAGTAACTGAGAGCATGGATTTTGAGGTTGGATAGGGCTCTGTTTTTATTCAACCGCTGTCATTTCCCTTACTGTATAATTTTGGGTACGTCACTACACATCTCTGTGCTTCAGTTTTCTCACCTGTCGATTGGGATTAATAAAATGCTTACCTAACTAGTTCGTTAAGTTGATTGAATGAATTAATGTATGTAAAGCAGTACCTATCTCAAGCACTCAATTATTAAAATTACCAATGACCCCACTTACGCTTGCCTGTGAAAAAAGAGGTTGTACTCGCCCATCAGCACTTCAGTCTAAATATAGACACATTAACCTTTCCTGAGTACCTTCTCCCTTTTTTTTTTTTTTTTGAGGTAAGTCTGGCACATTTAAAAAGATTGTTCTAAAGACTGGGAGAGACCAGCTGTAGATGATGGAGGCTTTGTTCATCTCCTCTTGCGACCACATCAAAGCTGTGATGGAAACACAGAGCAAACAGCAAGCAGAGTCTCCTGGAGTCTGGATGAACAGAAGCCCTACAACTAGGGAGAGAAATAAGAAATCATCCTGCAATGGTATGAGGTAGGAGGGGGCAAAAATTCAAGGCTGCCCGGTCCACAGCAGCTGAGAGGGACAGAGGCTGCGGCAGCGGTAGAGGCAGTAGCAGCTGCAGACGCCTCTTAAAGGGGCTGCATCTGCGAGCAGACCTTTGCGGTGATGGACATGCTCATTCTGAGCACCAGTGCCCAGTTGGCTGTTCAGGGGACACCAAGACTTACAGAGGGCACTGAATTGTTGAAGTGAGGAACAGAGATGAGGCTTTCTCCCAAGCAGAAGTGCTGGCAGTATCCATTGTTCCTCTGTTGAGCCCTCCTGGCTCCCAATGTGCAGATCCAGTGCCACCATAGCTAAACCTTCATCGAACTGGATAACAGAGGATTCCATGAAACTTTGCCTCTCACAACTTGCAGCCCTACCCAAGCCACAGTTGTATCCTCAGCAACTTCTGTGCCACTTGCTGAGAAGCGCCAAGACTCACAGCTGTGGCAGCTGACCTCAGTTTCTGGTGTGGCTTCTTGAAGCGATTGTGCACAGCATCTGTGGATTGCTTGCTGAATCAAAACAGGTGGCTCCCATAGGGGCATAGCCTAGGGCTAAATTTGACCTGCAAATGAATCCTTCTTAGGAATGGGCCACTGAAGACCTACTACACAAAGCCATGCTAATAAGACCAGGAGACTTAGGAGCTTTACTGAGTACATAGAAACAGACACAGAAAGGCAGCCAAAATGGGAAGACAAAGAAGCAGAAACCATATGAAAGAACAGAACAGAGCTTCAGGAAATATAGAGTCAAGCAATCTAACAGATGCAGAGTTCAAAACACTGGTTATAAAGATGGTCAGTGAACTCAGGGGAAGTGTAGATGAATTCAGTGAGAACTTCAACAAAGAAATAAAAAAACATAAAACTGGAAATGGAAATTATAAAAAGGAACCAGTCAGAAATGGAGACTATATTATCTGAGATAAAGAGTATATTAGAGGGAATCAGAGTGGAGGAAGGAAGAAGAGGATCAAAACACTGATATAGAGGATGAAGAAGCCGAGGTCACCCAATCAGAACGGCAAGAAAATAGAAGCCAAGAATATAATAATAATTTAAGGAGCCAATGGGATAAAATTAAGGGTAACAATATCCACGTCATAGGGGTACCTAAAGGAGGTAGAACAAGAAGTTGAATATATATTTGAAGAAATAATGATGGAAAACTTCCCTTACATGGTGAAAGAAATAGACATACAACCCCAGGAAGCTCAGAGTCCCAAAAAGATAAACCCAAAGAGGCCTACACCAAGATATACCATATTTAAAATGCCAAAGGTTTAATACAGCAAGAGAAAAGCAGTTAATTACCTACAAGGAAGCACCTATAAGAATGGCAGCTGATTTCTAAAAAGAAACTTTGCAGGACAGAAGGGCTTGGCACAAAATATTCAAAGTGATGAAAACCCAGGATCTACAACCAAGAATGCTTTATCCAGCAAAGCTATCATTTAGAGTCAAAGGACAGATAAAGAGCTTCCTGGAGGCGGGTGGGGGGGAAGCTAAAGGAATCCATCAACACCAAGCCAATATTACAGAAAATGTTGGAGGGAATTCTTTAAGAAGAAAAAGCATGTATCTAAAACATGACTATAGAATGGTAGTAACTTCATATCTACCAACAAGTATCTCAAATGGAAAAGAATTAAGTGCTCCAACCAAAAGATAGGGTGGCTAAATGGATAAGAAAACAAGACCCCTACGTATGCTGCCTACGAGAGACTCACTTCAGATTAAAAGACACGTACAGGCTAAAAGGAAGGGGATGGAAAAAGTTGTTGCCTTGATGGACCTAGAGGGTATTGTACTCAATGAAGTAAGTCAGATAGAGAAAAACAAATACCACATGATTTCACCTACATGTGGAATCTAAAGAACAAAATAAAGGACAGCAACAACCACAAAAATGGAAACAAATTTATAGATACAGAGACTTTTTTTTTTTATGCCTACAGCACCTGGTCTTCCTAGGTGATCTCTCATCCAAGTACTAACCAGGCCCGACCCTGTTTAGCTTCTGAGATCAGACAGGATCGGGCGTGTTCAGGATAGTATGGCTGTAGACTACAGAGACTATTTTGAGGGCTACTAGATGAGAGGGGGTTGAGGGATGGTGAGAAAGGGCAAAGGGATTAAGAAATACAAATGGATAGTTACAAAATAGTCATGGAGATATAAAGTGTAGCATAAGGAAAATAGTCAACAATGTTGGAATAAATATGTAAGGGGCAAGAGGGGTACTAGAATTAGTTGGGTGATCACTTTTTGAGTTACATAGATCTCTAATCACTATGCTGTACAACTGAAATGAATATATTATTATATGCCAACTATAAGTGAAAAATAACTCATTCAATTGTACAATGTAAATATGAGCAACTAATTATCTCATATTTCAATAAAGTTGTAAAACAGATTTTAAAAAGACTGAGAATAACAGCAGATAAAAAAACACAAGGAGTAATATGAAACTAGATCATTGTACTTTACAATACACTATAATGTTTGCTTTTCAGAACCCCATTTTATCCTTGGTCTTCATCTATTTCCACAAGGTGAATACCATCTTAGCAACCCACCTTGCATGAACCCTCTGATTTCTGCGCCGAAGAGTGTTAGACTTAGAGAAAGAGAAGTAGTTCCTTTCCTTGCATATCTAAGACCTGCCTTCTCAGTTTCACATTCTTATCTTTTTGCCCAGATTATTGATTATGTAGAATAACCACTTTTCTGAGGA